ACATCGAGTAATTTACGTAACTTTGTTCGTCTTTATCAGACGTCGGATACGATAGAAGTGGCAGAGCACAATCCTCGACATCCTCGTCGCGAGAACCAGCTATTATCGCAGTAAACTCGTTCTAGATCCCAGAACGAAGCTCCGGAGCGTAATTATCGCTCCGCTCGCGCACGGTATGCCACCGCCACGGCTTCATCCCGGATCCGGGAGATAGCCGACGCGCAACGGGAATAATGAACGCACTTCTGGTATTTAGCGTGAGGGATGGCGCACGTCAGCTTGATAAATAAACTCGGTTTCCTGTCGTATTTTATAGCGCGCGCTTTCGATGAAGGCGCAGTGCGTTCGCGGAGGCGAAAATACAGGTGACCGCGATTAAGCGCATTACTCGTGCCGTACCGCCATCTGAGTGAGAGCTCCCACGGGAATAATTAGAGGCATTCGTTTCCGTGCTACGGAAACCGTGGCGAGAGAGCACCAGTATAATTCGGTGATTCGATATTTTTATGCCGGGAGAAGAGAAACTCGGGACTAACCGCATTGACCTTTGCGCGATATTTATGATCAGCACGAGACTTTAGCCACGTCTTGAAGAAACTCTCTCGAGAAAGATGCTGAAGATTGGATCGTTACCAAAATAAGCAAAGTCGAAAAATAAGACGAAGTAACTGTTGGAGCTACGGTATGACGTAAGAGGGTTCCTCTCAGCGACGAAGAAACCGTCGTAAAGTCAAAATGTTTCCTATACTCGACCACTTGATTATGCTAATCCTGCGTGTTTTAAGCTTTGTGGGCAAACGGTCGACCTACTTCGTGGCGAACCGCCGCTTTCCCTGCGCGAGTAACCTGACAGGATAATGGAGCATCCTGCGAGCGTCGGATTACGTCGAAAGAAATGACGGAAAACAAGCCGATACGAGCCGGCAGTCGTCCTTCCTCATCTCGTAGCTTGCAGCTGTGAAATAAATTACCACGACGTGACGACGTATCCTTGGCTACTTTATAACGACTGATATTATTACTTTTTTCGTGTCAAGGTATCGCGTTTACTTGGAAAACTTATCTACCGGCCAGCAGACGAACCACCGTGTTAGAATCATTTTGAAATTCATTGCGGACGAAGATTGCAAAAGGAAGTTTAAAAAAAAATGAAGAATCTCGTCCCTTCGAAGAAATCAGATCAAAGAAACGATTATTCGGGAGAAGGCCGAACAATAGGCAAAAGCCATTGAGCCGTTTGGTTCAGTAGACGCCCATAGAATAGATCAATAAACCACTCGATATCTCTCTCGGTGCTTCTATGAAGATGCGAGATCGGCCGAAGAAGCAAAAAAAAAATTAAGCAGAAATGACCGGATGTGGATAATCCTCGTCGAGTCTGCAGCACGAAGACGCCCCGAGAAAAAGGAGCCCTCCTAGAACGTCACTGAAAAAAAAAAAAAAAATAGACGATGCACGTTTCGCAGGATCGCGAAGAGAGGAAGAGGGAGCGACGTACACCTTTCTTGAGATCTGGCGGACGCCTAATCCTGTTTTGAAAACTCGGTCTCGCATGACCGTGACAAACTCGACACCTTAAGATAGTTTATGACGACCCCTCGATCTCTCGGCCTGCGAACCGCTATTATCTTACAGCCTGTCCGGGCCTTACGGCCGTTAGGAGAAAGAGAGAGAGAGAGAACGACCTCCCTTCCTCCCCTTCTACCTAATATTAATTTCCCATCTCTTTTCAACCATTAATTGGGTCGCTATCTGTTGAAGGTAATCGAGCCCGCCAAGCTGGACTTTGAACAAGTACGCGTTTTGCGCTTTTTGCCGAATACCGCTATAAATCTCGTGAGATTTAAGAATATAGTTTACCACACGTTTCTGGGGATTCAAAAAACGTTTCTTTATACCTTTATGTGTTTTTAAAAGTTTTTAAAAGAAATATATTTTCAGAACATTCATCTCTTTGACATTTTTAAGTGAATACAAAAACAATTTATGATACAAAAAATATGTATGTAAAGTTAAATGTATTATAAGTAGGTTTATAGTGTTTAATTATATATGAGCGAAAGAATGGATGACAACCACTGTTCTCCTGGGAAGGCGTCGTATTTGTATACATATGAATTTCGGCCACGCGGCTATATCCCTCCGATTTGCAAGACGTCGTGGAGAAAATTGAATCCGGCTTGAAAGGAGAAACAAACGGCTGGAAGAGCCGGGCCGGTTGATTTAATATCGCCGTCCGTCAAGGCGAGTATGCTTCACGCTCGGTTCACGTAAGACGGACGTCTGCTTTCTTTCCCTCCCCGAAATCTGTCTAGTCGCGTGGCACAACGCGGGCGTTACCCGTCGTCCCTCTAAAAAAAAAAAAAAAAACAACAAAAAACAAAAAGATCCTATCACTGCTCGCTGACGTTCCTCCGTTCGGTTTGCTAAGCTAAACTAATTTCCGACAGGTAGAAAAAATTTCGCCAACTTGATCGGTTGAACGGGAATTGGATTAATTACGGCACGACCGCAATGCAGAATGCATATATATCTCCTGGAAGTCATGTTCTCTCGCGATCCAAAAAATTATTTTTGTAGGATGAGGGTAGAGCATATCTCCAGGACATGATAGTGCGAGAAGAGATGCTTATCGAGCCGCAAGTTTTAAAACGACACATGTAACGATGTGTTAAAAGTTTGAGTTCTTTCACACGCTTACGAAAACAGATAAATCATCGAATTTGTTAGGGAAATCTTCCTGAATTTATCCGTCCGGTTGGAACGGATCCCGCTGTTTCGACAAGACGCGGTATCGTGTTCGCACGGATGACCTCATGCCGCGGTTGCCCGTTTCTCGTAACCGGATGACACGACGCGGTATGCTCGCGCATCTGCGCGCTTCATTGAACATTCCGCGCACGAAACATTGCTCAAACAAACGGCCCCGGTCTAGAGCGTATAACGCCGACGCCGTCGATATTTATGGATGCAATTCGGAAAGCACACACAATCGGCCACGAGCGCGCGCCCGTCGATTCCTCGCATTTATCTTTCTCGAACACACGCGCGTATCCCCGGAGTTATCGACACGTGCTTTAATTAAATTTATCGATTTCGCGAAATCGTGCGCCTCCGCGTACAGGCGTGGGATACAGCTCGCTGTAAATCTCAATGTTTGCGGTCGTCGTGCCTCCACAATGTACAACGTTACTCTATAGGCCCCTTATAGCGCATTGTTTGCAAATAGAACTCGAATGGGAATTAAACTTGCCGGCAGGTCTGTGTAAATTCGTATCGGCTTGCATCTGCCGCTCTTGAATAAGTGCCTCTTTAAATTCCGATAGAGTCTAATATATTTTGGTTAATACGGACGATTAAATAATTCAATACGTAGGAGGGAGATATAACACCTTTAAGAGTTAAAAGAAAATAAATTTGGTTACATTTCTTTCTCTTCTCAAAAAAGATCTCCTTCTCTTCCTTCTTGTATTAATATTCGGCTAACAAATCCAACCGCTGGGATCTCGGATTAGTCGGCCGGACGTCTCTTCGTGGATTTATCGCTGGAAAAAGACTCACGAGGCATTTTCATGATCCTGTCGTCGGCTTCTTTGATGTGTGGGCGTGTGCCGCGCAAATCGAATCGTCCAGAATCTCATCACGTCCCCGTTGTAATCACGGCTATCCCGCGTCTGAGATCCGAGAGCTGATTATAATTTATGTTTCGTATTCAAGCACGTTACGTACATCGCTTCCATCATTCACGGATTCGCTTCTGTGGCTTCCACATGCCATCGCTTGCTAGATTACACGGTAATATACTGCCGCCGCAATTTCTGCCTCCCGTCAAACACGATAGACGAAACGAGCCTCGCCTCTTACACGAGACGTGATGAGTTGAAGGACATTCGCGAGGAAGATGATACGATTTGTTTGAATTGCCGTTACCAACCACCGCCCACCGTTCGCGGTTTTTAATATGCAGCCGCGTTGTTATATTTATGATTAAATTTCGTTGCGCGAATGCCCTCGCTAACAAAAGATATTTTAGTTTTAATAAAATCTGTCGCTGCTCCAGATGACGGAAAACAAATACAAAAGAATTAAATTTTCCCGACGCTACTAATTTGCAATCACCGTCGTTCTTTGCGACTCTCTGAATACAATTTATTCGTTATCCTACCCTGAGAGTCGCGGTCGACTATTAACGAAATCGTTTTTGTACGCCGGATTATTGCGACTATAATTTCTGTAACCAAACATGGTAACACCGATTCGATATCCGTCGAGGCAACACCGCTTTTAGTGTTTTGAAATGTGGAATACACACCCCGCGCCCCATTCCATAGTACTCCTTTAAAGGAATTTAAGGGACAATCGTTCCCAAAAATCAGATCAGATCGGTGCGCCAGCCCGGCCCCTTTTCGTCGACGAACGCATACGCGCGCTCGTACGTGAATATTTCGTCGACACGGCCACGGGCGTGTTTTCTCAGCTGGTGCCCCTAACCATCGACGATTCTCCCCCTCCGTTGTCCCCGCCGCCCCCGCGAGCAGATCCTGGAAGATCCTTTCAGGACACGGTCGGCTACCCACAAAGGACCCGGCCTTTCATACGCACGTTATTATACTCTTTACACAATATCGTTTCAGCTCACCACCCCCTCTCCCACATCGCCGAGGAAGAAATACGCGTTGCCATACGCCTCGGTACTGTATATCCTACGCCCACGTATTGTAGCCGGGACCATAAGCAACGAGAGACGTCGACCAAGAGCCGACGAAAGCCTCGAGACTTTCTCGTTTAATTTGTTGTTATAGCTGCTTGAGACGCGGATCGGTCCATTCGTCCGTTCGCAGGATCCCTCAAACATTCATTATATTTTTTCTTTTTTTTTTTTTTTTCGTAACACGTACGAGACCGCTCGCGCGATTCGCGATGATGGTGGGGTTACGGCTCGTCTCGCTCTCGCAGGAAAGGTCTATATTTGTTCCGTATCCCACAAGCGGTCTCTATTAATCGAGAGATCGCGGAGCAGGTGGACCTCATGCGATCCTTACAAGAGAGGAACACAGCTGATTTATCCTTGACAGATACCCTTTCTCTTTTCCTTCGCACTTTAAGATTCGTATCATCCTCCATCTCGCAACATTTTTACGATATATAACTAATAACGCAGTCGCGATCGTCGATCGATAAGTCATGATAAATAACACGCGGATATATGGATCGATCATCTATTCATGATTATAGTAATAAGATTTATGACGATCGCGCGAGCTCACCGATCGAGCGATCATGGGAGCGATCGATTCGATTCACCCGCTTGACGATCGTATCGCGGATGCAGACTGATGCGATTAGGATGCGGTATTATCGCGGTCCATTAACGATTGTTTGCGAAGAAAACGGACGAGTCAATTGCCATCGTTCGATGAATCATAAAAGCCGTACGTTACGTCGACGATCTAGAAAACTTACTGGAGCGTTGCTCGTCTGGGAGGATCTTTTTCTGTCTGATTTAGCGCGTTTTCCTGTCTATTGCATCGGGATGCACTTTTAGGTTTCTAGCTTGAATAGCTCTTGGCAATATCATTCATACGAGGTTATTGTATACACGTATTTTTATTATATTACAGATTACAGATTTGACAAAACGAGGGTCACGATCGATGTTATTGAGTATTCAATTATACAAAGGACACTTGTTTCGTAAAACATATGAGTCAAAATTGTCCAAGGCGATCCGTAAATGTGCTCAGAAATGTTCGTCGCGCTTCTCTAGATGGAAACACTGGTCCCATACATTCCAGCAGTAGTAGATTTCTTTCTTTTATAGCCCTGTGAAATTCCTCTTCGGATATTACACCGTCGCGATCAATGTCGACTTTTTTCATCAGTGAATCAATCAAATCCTATGACGTCAATAATTTGTTTGTTATTATTTTATACGTGCGTCATATTTTTATGGAATACGAATTTTCGTGTAGCTAACAATGTGTTAACAATGCACGTTTCTTTGTGACACACCAAAATCTTGTAATCTTATAAATATTTATAATTAATTAACCTTGACACCATCATCAGCATCTTCGTCTGTTTGTAATTTAATAAGGCAACCGCGCATTGACGGAAATATGTGCTCCTTTTTTAATTTGTTGGTATGCCAAAAATCGTATATCTGTGTTTTATAAATATCATAATTAAATAATAATTGTTCCTAATTAAAGTTTGATTCTTACAATTTTTTCGATAATAAATTAACTTCAATTTTATAAAAATATTATGCGGATGCACATTAAAATCTAAAGGTTTACATAGAATATAATTATAGAAAGATGAAGGTTACATTAAAAGCAAAGTGTATCCTCTCGTTTAAATTGCCGCGAAGAATTATAGAAAGTCCTTCAATCCATTGTTCCAGATGAATCTACACAGCCGCATAATCGTAATCATTTACCATAAAATGCAAATTATCAAACATTTACATTACATTAATTGCTCTTACTTGTAAGACATTTTTCTTGTCAAACGTAGCAAAAATTCTATCAATGTACAAGTGTCGAATATTTTCAGTAAAATCCAAACCAGAATGTAAAACGTCTCTAAACACCGATCTTGTCATGGGACCCAAAGTTTGCGTTATTTTCCTGTGTATAACAGCTAACGCTATAATAAGATTTAATTGATAGTAAATTATACGAAATATATAAAAATTATATCAAATTAATGAAAAGATTAACCCCAAAGTATATTTGTCTTGCTATATAACCTTCGACTTCTCTCAAATTGAAGTGAGTCTTTCGCGCTAGTTTTTTGAATAGAGCATTATTTTTTCTTCTAAAGACAATTTCCGACGAAGATTTGTTTAACGTATCAATGGGTAATTCGACCGGCATTTTGCTCTTGTAAATTTATTCTGTACTTGTAAATTTACTGTTTAATGAATTTTGATGATCAAAAATGTCAAAACGGTTAAAAAATAAGACTATCAATTTTTAATATCAATTCTCTTTAGCTATTTCATTAAATATTTGAGATTTTTACATATTTTATCATTTTATTATAAACATTTTGATTTATTTATATCTATTATTTAAAACTTTATTTTCCATTAAGCGCAATAATATTTAAATGACGAGTGTGTTGTGTAATCTATAATTGAATCACACTAAATTTTTTTGTCCAATAAGTTCATTAATTCAGATTAATTGTACTAATCATATGGTATTAATAACGAGAAGATCGTGGATTCGATTTCTTCATGTGCCAGTTATTTTGCTTTTAATCATTCTATAACATAAATATCTTTCAACAAAGGTTATTTCTCTTCACAGCAAATCAGTTTAAAAATAATTTAAGAGTTTCACAACAGAGAGATAAATATACTTATTTTTAATATAGATTATTGAAATTTTTAATTAAAAACATAACATTAAAATAGAAATTAACTAAACAGAAATAAGTATTACCTAAAAATTTTCAACACTTGTGCTATATTATAAAATATAAAAACTTTTGCAATTTTTTTATCGTATATAAAAAGTCTAACTTTTTAACTTTATTGATTTTGAAGATGATTGATTAAACAACTGTCAGTCCTTCGTGTTTAAAATCCATGGCTTACCATCGATGCCAATTTCATCACATTCGAGATGTGTAATGTACAAAGACTTATTGTAAAAAATATGTATACAGAGACATTTTATATGGAATGTTGCCAAAATATTCAACCAATATAAAGATGATAAAAATGTATAGCTGGTTCTCACGTAGCCGTGAGAAGAAGAAGAAAAAGCCGTAAGGCCGCCTATCCGAGAAATATGAGCGAGACGACGAATGAATTTCGTCGTGATAACCGATGAGTCGTGAATGCTCAGCACGAATTCGTTTCACGGGAGCCGTTCGACCGGCATAAAAGACGGCAATAAAGCCCCGCCTAAGTATATCTAATGACATCATTTGGTTGGCAAACGTAATAAACTGGCACAAAGCTACAGGGATTTCGTCGAGAATGTAAAAACGCGGGAACGGCTTAAGACGACAGAGAAAGGATAAGTTCGTATGGGCTCGCGCATGTTTTGCGAGCCGCGTGAGAGGACATGGGAAGGTTGATGAGCGAGGGAGGAGGGTAGATGTCTGGAATTTCGTGCGAGACCAGAGTCCCTCGCGAACAAAAAGGAAGGGAATACCCACCTCCAATCCTTTCTGCTGCCACACGTGAACGCTCGCGTCGTTTTAAGAGAAATACGAGAGACTCGGGGGCCCTGATGGCGCGCTTCAGGGTGCATTGTTTGATCGGCCGGGAAAGCAAATCCCCCATTGGCAAACGAAATGCGACTGATCCCCTCGAGATCATCAAGCCTTTGTAAATAATGGCTGGAGATTTTTACGTGAGGTCGCGTAATACAGTGATTTTTTTTTTTTTTTTTTTTTTTTTTTAAGAAATCACCAGAGGAGTGCAGGCTCTCTCTTTCTTTTTATGTAAAACTTTTCTAATATTTTTTATTATTTCTCGTGAGCGGCATAAAGACGATCGGTCAGACAGCGAGAACAAAATATACAAGTCCTTGTTTCAAAAACGTTAGCCATAATACGTGTAATTTGGAGGATCTTCTCGAACCCACGTCACTGTGTTAAATCTAATAGAGTCCGACACATCACCACACGCTCCATTCCCGAGCCAAAAATTTCATCGTAAATCGAATCCGTCCTGTCTTATCCACAAAAAATTGTCCCGATACACTTTCGTGTATTCATCTTGGGCAACGAACTCGAGATATATCACCAGAGCGCACGTCGCGCATTCGAAGGAGAACGCCTTTTTTTACCCCCGGTCCCTATAATCACGAGCTCATTAGTCCCCGCCGGCGGATAATTTACGAGCTGGACGTTGCTCGCGCGGCCGATCGCAGAGGGACCACATTGTTTCGCTTAAGTAGGCAACGAGCCCGCGAGAATGGCGAGGGATCGCTTTCGCGAAAGGCACTGTAATATCCCGGTCGAGAGAAAAAGATAGAGTGAGAGAGCAAAGATGAAAGGCGCGCGAGAAGAAGCACCTTGTGTTTCTATAGCACAGTCGAGCTTGGAACGACTGTAATCTTGGGCTATCTAACGTTGTAAATGTAGCGAGGTGATGATTTGCGACCTCCCTGCAGCTTCGTGGGGAGGATTGGCGTGTATAGGGGTACACTCGGACCTTTAGATTCAATTTCGCGGGGCGTCAGACGCTGACGCGACGTCCGCCCACCTTCCGTGAGACGTTGATGTACGACGCGGCAGACCGCGGTAGACTCGGGACCCCTCTAGAAATTTTCAAACGCCGAATCGGCCACGGTGTAAAATAGCGACACGATAGAATACATGGTTTTAACAGACATGTTTGAAAATTTGTAAAAATATCCCAACATTTATTTTTTGGGGAATAAATCATGTATAAATTGAATCAAAAAATTATTTTTATAGTAGCGACGTTTTCTTCCCCCTCAATTTTTTTTTTTTTTTTTTTTTGCTTATGTCAAATAAAAATATTTAATTTTAATTTTAAGTTTATATTATATAGTCGTGATTTTTTTAAAGAAAATAAAAAATAATAATGCAGATGAAATGATATATCTAGCTAAAGTTGTGGATTATGATGACCGTGAGAATATGTTCGTTTGACATTCACTATACTTGAAAATACCCGCATGAGTATCACCCTCTGTCGACGCATCGATGCACGCGATGTGGATACATCGATTTTGCTTGGTATGCCGAGAATGCCAAGTAGAAATGCAACAATCCTCTCTCAATCATCGAGAGGATCGAGAAAGGCTACTCAGGCTAGTTGAGCGTTACATAAGCAGTCGAACACGGAAAGTGGCATGTCTATCACTCAACGTACATACTCGCGTCAATACGCGCTCATATATACACGTGCAGATAGAACATGATATTAAAGTCGCTTCAGACTGATAGATCCATGACTTCGTGTATGAAAAATTTCTCTTTACATTATTATTTTTTAATTTAAAAGATATTTGAAATAATACTTGAAGTGAAAGCTTAATGGAATAATTTAAGTATTTAAATTAAAATGTTTTTTTTAATAAGCTATTGCGATACCAATATCGTTTATGGCAAATTCAACCAGGCCAATATACCACGAACTTACATGCTGGATTTCGTTCTTCGCACGAGTAGCGAGGATATTCATAGCTCGGCGCGAACAAGCTCTCCTTCTACGTCATTTACAAACGGCAAGCGGTCCATCATAAATTTAGCGCGCTATCGCCTGCTGCGATCGTATTTATCTAACAAATAATTATTCCTGATTATCTCGCGGGTGATGCATGCCTCGGCAAACAGAGATCAAAGATACGGCGCCCGACATCCCGTGGGCCTTTGTTTAACGCTTAACCAGCCGAAAGGTACCGGTCAACAATTTCGTTTTATTTACGACGTAGTGGTGATGGTGGTGCTGGTGGCGGCTAAGCTGGTCCGAACTTTAGTTCAAGAGCGGGATGAGCGTGGGTGCGAGGGTTGAGCGCCTATTACCACGGTTGCCTTGGGGGGTAGCCTATCCCGATGTCTGCTGCAATCAAATTTTAGAGTTATTGCCATGTGACTCCACGTGGGCCAGCTCGGAGCAACATAAACCATGAAGGCCTCGAGGAATAAACTTTTTTGTAACATTTTGTGTCACGGATTATGCGACAGTACAAGTTCGCGAAACTTTAGAAATATTACATGAAATAAAACGCAACAATTGCAACCAATTGTTTAAAAAAATAGTTGGAATATTTTATGATTGACATATTCAATCTGTGTTTCGATATTATCTAAGATTATGTAATTTTGTCTAAAAAAAATCTGCTTTTTCCTATAATGTTAATTATACTGCTTAATTATACTTTATAATATATGTATATAAACCCATTTATTTCACGAAGGACTTAAACTTCCGTCGTTTATATTGTCATTTCCATCAAGCGCTTTTGAAACTATAATTATGGGCAGGACCGGCCGCGATGGGACATGAGGATGTCCTATAGTGGTAGCCCCAACGGACTACCACTAGATTGAAGAAGAAAACGAGACGAGCTATCCATAAAATTTGAACGAATGTGAACGATCGAGCAGACTCTCCGAGAAAAACGTATGCTGGTTTAGCGACGACGGGAGTGGGGTTTAACGTCTCGTGGACACGGAATCGTTATGTAACAACATTGGAGTGAGTTGTACGACAAATGTCGAAGAAGGACTCGAACTAAGTGAACCGTGAATCGATGGGATCAACGGGCAGAGCGAACCGTGGGGATTTTCTCTCCATGCCTTGTGCCACTATTGTCGATGGGACACCTTGGACGTCATGCCGCGGCTTTGTGCAACTGCGAGACTCACGAGCAGCGATGGACCAAACATCCGAGCTTTTCGGAAAATTGAATACGTGGGTGGCAGAGTCACTCCCTGGCTGAGACCTGAAATCCATCCTAATCAAGCAGCAGAACATGACCGGACAGATTTGTATAAGATGATGATTAAGCAAAAACGTATTTATATTCCGCACGTCACTAAATATTGATAAATCCATTTTTACAAAGTAATGAGAAAATATTGCGATAAAAAAATTAATATATATAGAAATAATTATATAAAATTTTTCAAGAGTAATTTTAATAAAATATTATGTTTTCTTTTTAAAAATTGCAACTTCTTATATTATATGTATAACAAAACCAAATGTGTCAGCAGATTTTCCAAATGTTTTTGGAACGAAAATAAGTTCAACTATATATGCTTGATAAATAGCAAACGATTTCCGGTTTATATTTTTATCCCGCAAGAATTTGTCCAATCCTTTTTATAAATGAGAGGAAGATACCGACAAATGGGGTGTTAGATGCTTGTTATCCGC